ACTTGTCCCACTCTTTTTTAGTGGAATCTTGTGATTTTTCACTACCTTCAAGACAATTTTCAGTTATTTTTATTTTTAACAAAATTAAAATAACTTTGAAAACATTTACTTCAAAAATTTCTTTGATTTACACTTGCTCCATTTTAAAAAAATGAAAAAAAAAAAGCATCAAGATTGTGTAAGATTTGTTTAGATGTGTCAACAGTCAAAGTGTACATGTCCAGTGGTTTTCTTAGATCCATCAGTGGTACAAATTATGTTGGTAATCAGAATCCAACACTCATCTGCTCTAGATGCCAAAAAGTCTAAAAAAGAGTGGGACAAGTGCCCTGGCCTCCCATCTGTATCTAGGGCTCTGGAAACAATTTAAACATGTACATTCATCAGAACTATGTAAATGCTGAATCTTTTGAATATTGGTTATTTTTTAAAATGAAACATAGCATATTTACACAATAAATTCACCCAATTTTAATGTATTAATGTTAATTAGCTTATTAGGTTAAGCTTTTTGAATACCAGGAAAAAAAAGGAAAAATTCCTGTTATATTAACATCTTCACTTGTTCATTTAAAGCTAATAGTATCTATAGATTCTGGGTTAAATTGATGAAAAAAATGCCTGTTAGTAGACCAGCAGGATGACTTGACAGTTTATTATTTACAAAAGTGTGTTTATTAGTAAAACCATATTTTAAACTATGAATATTTTGTTCCTTGAAATTATTTAAAAGAAATTTTTGAAAAGTATTTAAGCATAAAAGTAGTATACACTTCGTTTAATAACACGTATACTATGATGCATTTTACAAAATTTTACAAACTTAATGAAAAAAAGCTGACACACAATTTAATATTTCGTAGTGGGACTTTACTATTTTTTTAAGTTGTTGTTTCATTTTAAAGCACGTTTCTTCTCAATTTAAAATGAGTTTTAAAATTACATTTTCTTTCAGTTCCAAATGGTATTTTATCTTTTTTTAAACAATATAGTTGCAATTTGAATCACGTAAATAGGCAGTAAAATTATAAGTAACAATGAGTCTTTTTTGTTTTTCATTAGTAGAATAAATTTTTATTTTAACTTTGTAAAACAAAATTAACAAACTAAAAATTTATTTATTAAGATGCACATAAAAAATCATTATTATAACGCAATTAATGATGCACAACAAAATTATTTTTTTTAAAAAAAGAAATAAAATGAAGTCTTAGTAAAAAATCACAATCAAATTTTGTCATCAAATTTTTTCAAGTACGTTTTAATTATATAGTGTTTATCAAAAGTAATGCATTTTGATGATCTGGATAATTACTAATTAATAAACAAATAATAATCATAATAAATAAACAGTTAAAAAAATAACTTAATTTTAATTTATTATTTTTTGTATTAGTTATATCATATTATTGTTAAATATACATTTTTTCAACTCTTTTGCCAGAGTTATTATTACATTAAATGAACTAACAACATATAGAGTAAGTTGTTAGAGTAGTATATTTGAATAGAGTAAGTTAGAGCATTTTAGATCATTATTTTAACTGCATTAGATGGAGGCAGCGAGGCTAGGGCTATTGCTATTGACATATCTAAAGCTTTCGATAAAGTTTAGCATGCTGGTCTTCTCCAAAAGCCTACTTCTTATGGTGTACCTGGAAAGTTTTTAAAATTATTAAATCTTTTTTTTCTAACTACTTTATTAAAATCATCCTTAAAGAATAACACTTTTCTTTATTTCCAGTAACTTCTGAAGTATCTCAGGGTTCTATCCTTGGTCCTGTTTTGTTTTTTATCTGCATTAATGATCTTCCTGACAACCTTGCATCTAAAGTGGCTCTATTTGTTGATGAGTCAACTTTATACTCTTGTCATGACAAAAAGTCTTCTCTTTTTGATCTCTTAAAACAGACAGCTGATTTTGAGTCTAATTTTACTTTTGTAACAGATTGTTGCTTGCAGTGGCTTGTAAATTTTAACTCCAACTAAACTCAGTTATTTACTGCAAATAACTATTGTAATACTGTTTACATTCCTATATTAATGAATGGCAACCCTTTCACTGAGTCCTATTTTTCATGTCTTCTTGGATTATTGTTTACTACTGATCTCCCATGAAAACCATATATGCAATTGATTTCTAAATTAGTGCCTGCTCATTTTCACTTGACTCACCATTCAGCAAAATTACATCCTTTTACTGTATCTATCCCTTAATGCTCTAAAAACTTTTATTCGTCTATTTTTTTTCCTTGCACTTCAAAGCTCTGGTACTCTCCAAACTACCCAGTTAATTGAGAGTTATTAAAAAATATTTAAAAAATTGCTGAAAAGTTACTGAAAAATTTAATCATTAAATGAAAAATGAAGCTTTAAAGATTTGAAAGTTTCATGAAATTTCATAAGCATCAAATAGTTTTGATTACTCTGTGTAAATAGTTTTCTCTAGCTTATGAAGGTCACTAAAAGTTTAAGAAAGTTTGAAATTTTAATAGATGCCTATAGAAATAAATTAATTTTTTTGAAATTTTTATCATATATAAATGTATTAAAATTACTATTTAGTTGTTGACAATAATTAGATATTTTTAAGTAGTCTACTTTTTTTTAGATCTCTTTCTAATTTGAAGTATAGATCATTTTAATTCCCTAGTCGGTTTAGTTTATATTAATGCTTCTGTATGATATTTTGCCGACTACAACATATTTCCATTAAATCACAGAAAATTTAGAAATGATAAATAATATTTAGAATTATAAAACTTTAAAGACAAAAAGTAAAAAAAAAAATTCACATTCTCTTTCATAGATATTAGTTAAACTTTTGTCAGGTCAAGTGTATTGTCTTCATGATCACCCTGCTACTGGTAACATGTAACCCTGTGCAACTACTTAATTGCACTGGGATATAATGTTTAAAAGTTACTTTATATTTGTATGTTAGCTTTCTCTCTGAACCTCTGGCGTGATGTTTATTCACTCGTAAGTTACTTTGTTTAGAAAGTTTATTAAAGAAAACTCCCATTCAAAAATTAATTAATTTTGCTGTTTATTAACTAATTAAACTTACCCTATATATATTTTTTTATGTTGATTCACCTACTCAAGTATAAAATATTAGTCATGATTAACATTTTTTTTTTAGGTTTAATTTGCTTTTAAATATTTAAAATAAAGAATAAAATAATTTAATAGGTGTTTTTTTTATGAAGTATTTATTAAAATAAATGTAACATGCTACTGCAAAATAAATTAAAAAATATATGTTATATTGTAAATGTTAAATTTTTTACTCTCCATATTATATTCAGATTCTCTGTCATTCTAATAATTAAAAAAACAGTTTTAATATGATTTAATGTTTAACTTTGTATAATTCAAATATTTTATTTTACTAGTTTGTGTAAGTTAACTTTGATAACAGTTTGTTACTGTGATATAAAGTTATATAAATATTAATTTTAATTTTGTTAGTATTACAAGGTAAAGACCTTCAAGCTATGGATCCTTCTGGAAAAGCTGATCCTTACTGTGTTATAAAATTTGGGACAATTGAGCATACTACAGAAATTCAGTATCGAACTTTAAACCCGGTTTGGAATCAAAAATTTTTATTTGAAGTTGATAATATCCCCCAGTCTGCATTTGCTTTTCCACTATCAACAGTTAATTCAAATGGATCACTTCAGCTATCACAAGTTCCACTATGTGAACTGTTATACTATATATATATTGATTTATGGGATAAAGATACTTTAAACAGGTTATTACTGTGTAATTGAGCTCTTTATGTTATATATTACAAAGAAAGTGTTAAACAAATATCTTTGTGATGTAGCCTTGATGACATACTAAAATCTGCAGGGGTTTTGATAGATTTATTTTAATAATTTTCTGAGGGTTTTGGTTTGGGTTTAGCCAGGTATTACCTAGGTATGAAGGGTTTTAGTTATGTCATATATATAAAACAATATATATGGTTATATATATACACCGTATAACAAAAGATAATTCTAAATAAAATTACATGTTTATTTTTTATTTTAATTATGAAATTTCTTTACAATTTGACCATGGCGGTTTTGATGTTTTAACAATTGAAATGCTATAAAAGAAATTGTTATGTTATGAATTACTTTTAATCATTGATCTTTTCTAAAAATTTTATTTTACACAAAGGCTATAAAATAAAAAATTATGTATAGTGATTGTTTAAAATAAACACATTTTGTATAAATTAACAAATAATGTTATATTTATATTTTTTTATGTAGGCATGTATTTTTTATGAATTTAAACGTTTGAAACTATTTTCTAAAAATCTTTTGCAAGATAGTTTTTAAGTTACTTTAAATTATAAATTATTTAACTTAAATCTTCTGTTGCAATGGAGTTATTTGATTGCTTTACTTTTTTTTGTTTTTAGTTTTACAAAAAATTGTTTATAACTATTTATTTTAACTTGACTAACTAATCAGAGCATGAAATGAATAAAAATTACTATTTTAGATAAACTAAAGTATTTTTTTAAACAATTTTTTTTTGTGTAACTTTTTGGAAAAAACAAATGTTTATACCATTTAAAAATAATATATATAACACTTTTTAATAATTTAAATAAAATGTTCATTCATTAAATTATCATTAGAAATAATTTGTAAAAACGTTTTGCTTAACTTTAATAAAAAGTTTTAAAAGATAAGTTGTAAAGAATAAGTTCTTTATTGTAAGAAATGCTTTCTTTTTTCATTATTATTTTTTAAAATTTTCTTCCTAGTTTAAGTTTAGATATCTTTTTTTTTTCAGTGCATTTCTAAACTGTTTTAAAATCATCTAAACATCTAAACAGTTGTGGTCAAGTTATCAAAAAGTATAATCATTTGCGTGGTCGCACGCTATTCTTGTCTATATATATATATAAATATATATACATGTATATATATATATATATATATATATATATATATATATATATATATATATATATATATATATATATATTATTTATATATATAAATTAGAACAAAACGCATTGATTTAATTGTGGAAACTTATTAGGATTAAACTACAAAAACGTAAATTAAAAGACTACAATGATTTAAAACATTATGATTAAAAACATTATGAATGTTTTTATTTTTATTTTTAAAAATAGAAACATGAATGTTTTTAATTTTATTTTTTTACTGTAAAACATGCGCATAGTGTTGCCACATCAACTATCTTATAGCCTGCTGCTACAAGGAAGTGGTGCTACATCGACTATCTTATAGCTTGCAGCTACAAGTGAGTGCTGCTTCATCGACTATTTTATAGCCTGATACAAAATGAAAATAAATTTTTTTTAAAAAGTTTTTATGGTAAAAATTAAATAAAAAAAAAAATATATATATATATATATATATATATATATACATATATATATATATATATATATATATATATATATATATATATATATATATATATATATATATATATATATATATATATATATATATATAAATATAAATATATATGTGTATATATATATATATACATATATATGTGTGTGTGTATATATATATATATATATATATATATATATATATATATATATATATATATATATATATATATATATATATATATATATATATATATATATATATAAGTATATATATATATATATATATATATATATATATATATATATATATATATATATATATATATATATATATATATATAAACACACACACACACATACATACATACATATATGGCTGTTTCGATGATGGAAGAGGTAAATTTCGTCTATAAAAAAGTATTTTTTTCTAAAAAGAGGCGTTAAATTTGATGAGTGTTAGCAGTTGTTTCCTTTTTTTTATTATTCAAAAAGATGAGTAAAATTTTAGTCCCGAGTTTTTCAAACATTAAAAAAAATATTTATCCATACTTTTATTTAAAAAGTTTCTTTAAGATTAAGTATATGACTTGGGTAAAAAACTTTTAGATTTTAAAAATAGTTTAACTTTTTATGTGACATACACATCTGCAAAAATTCTTTAGCGTCACTGAACTTAAAAATAAAAAAGTTAATTATCGAATATACGAAATAAGATTACAGGGTGAAATTAAAAAAAAAAAAGTGCAATAAAGAGTAATTGTGCTTTTGCTTTTCAAAAAAAAAAGTTCACTGAATCCATCAGCGGGATAATTTGTGTTTATAAAATAGCATAAGAATAATTCAGGGAAGTCAAAATTGACTATTAAAATTCAAATTTTATTTTGGTTTTCAGTCAATTAAGTTTTTCATAGTACATTTTTGAGAAATGGAATCCAAACTAGAAATAAAAAAAAGAAGTTACTCAGAATACCAAGCTTACGTGATTCAAACTAATTGCCTTATTAATATCAAGAAGGGTTAGCAATTCGAATCAGATTAACTCTTAATCAAAAAAAATAAATTTCATAATATTTGTAATATGATTAGGATATTGGTAACAAATAAATATATTCATTATTTTTTATATAAAGCTCAATAAGAAATAAAAATTACCACAATTAACTTTTATTGCTAAAAACTTAGTGATAGATTCAAACTAAATAAATTCTTATCATTACAAATACCTTCTTTATGTAATTCTCAACAATCTTTATATATATGTATATCTATATGTCTCAAAGTCCTGATAAAAAATAAAAAAATGTCCAGAGAAAGATCTAAGAGATATCAAGAAAAATTAAGAGTCGATTTGAATAAAAAACCAGCTTTTTGTTTTAATTTTTGTCTTGAGTTATCAGCATGGAAAATAATGGCTGGTCAATGGTCTACCAATTGTAATTTTTTTATTTATTTATTTTATTGCTTTTTCCTGCTGATGAGAAAATTTGGAATTATCAATTGCACATTTACACTTTTTTTTTTTCTTTTCTATTATTTGATTGAATTGTAATAGAATTATCAAACGTCAACCCAGTTTAATTGAGGCGAATAAAGGGACAAACAATAGTTAAATTTTTCAATAGTATTCATAAAAGGATTTATTTTAGTATTAAGTATTTAATTTTTTTTAATATTGTATAGAATTTGTTTTAATATTAAAGAAAAATAAAAATTCAACATCAAATTACTTGGATATTATCAAACTGCTTTTTTTAGTTGAATAAAAATCTGTGTGCACAAGCGTAATTTGAATGTTAGTATGTAGAGGGCCATATATTATCAGTTTTAAATCAACATATACACTAGATATCTATCTAGTTGATTTAAGGCAGGTGATGTATGGTGTGTTTAATTTTATCTTTTGATATTTCTAGATTTGAATTTATAAAAACTTTACAGTAATGAATTAAATATTTAGAGATGATTATATAGGACGTGTAATATTACCAATATCAACTATTCCTTATGGAACTATAAAAAGGTGGTATCCAATTGGTAGAACACCTGCATCTCCTTCTGCTTCTGGCAAAATAGAATTATCTTTGACTTTAAAAGCATTGGATGAAACACAAGTATAATACTTTTTTTATATTTTGCTTAAATATTAAAACTAAATATAATATATAAGTTCAAGTTTTTTCCACAGATTTAAAAAGTAACAGTTTTTGAAAACCATTCTTTTTTGTTAAAAAAAATTTTGTTAAAAATAATGATTTTAAGGGTGGTACATGACCAGGGTCCCAATCTCAGCTTTATTTGCAGCTTTTTACAAACCCAGCCTCTGCAAAATTTAAAGATTTAGATCGATAGCTGGAGCTTGGAAAAAATTTATAGTTTACGTATATAATTTTATGCTTAGATTAACTATTTATCAAATACTGGCCTCCGCTATCTTTTATCAAACATGACCTTGGCCCCGGTCAAATATCTACCCCAGCCGCTATTCAAAGGTTGACAAATGTTTGGACAACAAATATCAAATTAAGTTAATAAATCTGATTTATGTTTGTTCTATTGGTTATAAATGGCGCATCTAAAATCAATAGAGTATTGTGAAGTCTTTAATAGTATTCTTTCAAATATTGTTTGGGCCTCGGGTCTTTATCTCAGATTTTCTTAAAGCTTTAACCTTTTTAAAGGTTTTAAAAGGTTTTAAAGAAAATAAGATTTTTTTTTTCGTAGATTAAAATTTTTTTTTTTTTTTTAATTATCTTTGCTTCTAACAAGGTTGCAAGCAACTACTAATTAGTGTTGGAAGTTACTGGAAGAGAAAAGATGAAGATTGTAGAGCAAGATAACGATTGACAGACGACTTAAAATATTGCAAATTATATGAATCAGGAAAGCAAGATGAAGGAAGCAAATTCCAAAGAACTGATGTTCAAGGAAAAAAACTAGACAAATAAGAGTTTTTGGAGCACTTAGGAACAGTAACAGAAAAAGGATGAGACTTAATTGAATGACGAGTAACACGAGAATGAATTTTAGTAGATGGCACAAGAGACGCTAGCTCTTTAGAGCAGTGCCCATTATAGTATTTGTAAAAAGAGAAAGTGAAGCAACATTACGACAATGTGACAGAGGTTGAAGGTTGGCTGCAAGAGCAGGTCCAACTATGTTTACAATGTGTTTTTGCACCTTGTCTAAAAGAGAAAGGGCATCATTAGAAGATCCGCCAACATTGCCAGATATGGCAACAGTATTCCATACATGGCCGGATTTGAGATTTATAGAGATAGAGAATAGAATCCAGAGTAAGAAAGTGACGAGCTCGATAAAGAGAAGCAACTTTAGCAGATGCTAATTTTGCAACGGATTTGATATAAGGTTTTCAAGAAAGATCAGAAGTAAGAGTTAATCCTAGAAGATGAAGGGTAGGAGACTCATCGAGTACATTACCGTTCATAAATATAGGAAGGTCTAAATTATTGCGATAACAATTGGCTGGAAAAAATTGAGTTTTATCTGAATTAAAGTTCACCAGCCACTGTGAGCCCCATGCTGTAGCAGAAGTGAGATCCTTTTCAAACTCAGATGCCCCCTGCAAGCAATCAGAGGGAGTTGGCTTCTTATCGTGACAAGAATAAATGGTAGTATCATCAACAAACAATGCCACCTTAGATGTGAAAATATCTGGAAGATCGTTAATGTAAATTAAAAAGAGTATAGGGCCAAGGATTGAACCTTGAGGAACCCCTGAAGTTACAGGATGTGAAGAAGAGTGTTGTCCATCGAGGACAACTTTTATACTACGATTGGAAAAAAAGGACTCAATAATCTTAAAGACGTTACCAGCTACACCATAAGAAGAAAGCTTATGGAGAAGACCAGCATGCCAAACTTTATCAAAAGCTTTAGAGATGTCAAGTGCGATAGCCTTAACCTCTCCACCTCTATCTAATGCACGGTAAAATCTATCGGTTATTACTGATAGCAAATCAGCCGTAGAACGAGAAGATCGAAATCCATATTGATGATCAGAAAGTAGGTTATGAGATTCGAGATGAGAGATTAAGTGTTTGTTAATTAAAGATTCAAAAACCTTGCTTATGACAGGAAGAAGACTAATGGGACGGTAGTTGAATCAGATCGCTCTCCAGAATTTTTAAAAATAGGGATAACAGACGCTGCTTTCCAGCAGGCTGGAAAACAAGACTTTGATAAGCACTTGTTAAATAGTTTTGAAAGGATATACGAAATAAAAAAAGAAGAAAATATACCCTTTCTCTTTTAGACAAGGTGCAAAAATGCATTGTAAACATAGTTGGACCTGCTCTTGCAGCTAACCTTTAACTATTATCGCATTGTCGTAATGTTGCTTCTCTTTCTCTTTTCTACAAATATTTTAATGTGCATTTTTCTATAGAGATAGCATCTCTTGTGCTATCTACTAAAATTCATTCTCATGTTACTTGTCATTCAATTAAGTCTCATCCTTTTTCTGTGACTATTCCTAAGTTCATTAGGTTTTTTTCCTCGAACATCAGTTTTTTGGAATTCGCTTGCATCTTGCTTTCCTGATTCATATAATTTGCAATCTTTGAAGTCGTCTGTCAATGGTTATCTTGCTCTGTAAACTCCATCTTTTCTCTTCCAGTAACTTCCAACTCTAATAGTGGTTGCTTGCAGCCTTGTTGGAAGTAAGGTTGTTGAAAAAAAAAAAAGTATATATATATATATATATTTATATATATATATATATATATATATATATATATATATATATATATATATATATATATATATATATATATATATATATATATATATATATATTTTCCAAAATGTGTATCCTTACTTATTTTGTTTTGTTTTGGGTATTTTAGATATTCTGAGTTTTGGCGCTATCAAAATAACGTTACTTATCCTTAAATACCTTTTTAATCAGTCATTAAAAAAGTTAACCAGGGCAAGAAGCATCAATAAAGAGATTATAAAATTGTTTATTTTTTAATTTTATTTTGAAATATATATTATTAAATAAAAAATGCTTAAATTTAGACTTTGAAATGTTATAATATATATATATATATATATATATATATATATATATATATATATATATATATATATATATATATATATATATATATATATGTATATATATATATATATATGTATATATATATATATATATATATATATATATATATATATATATATATATATATATATATGTATATACATATATATATATATATATATATATATATATATATATATATATATATATGTATATATATATGTATATATATATGTATATATATATATATATATATATATGTATATATATATGTATATATATATGTGTATATATATGTATATATATATATATATGTATATATATATATATATATATATATATATATATATATATATATATTATATATATATTTATAAAGTAAGAAAACATCAATTAATATAAATTATCTTAATAAAAATAATAGTTTATTATTAAATTTTTTTGCTAGATTATGGTTGCCAGCATCATCAGTTCATATAATTATGTAGAAAATTTTTTGACTAAACAAAAATTAACTGATGTCAACAATTGAGTTGCTACTTTCTTGTTTACTTTTTTTTTGTTTTCACTTTAATAACACAAAAAAAAGTTTGATAGAAATGTGCGCAAAGCTCTTGAAAATCAGAGCTACCAATGTTCTCTTTAAATGGGGGAATTAATCTAGATAACAAGTAGTTTGTTAAAATTAAAATTTGGATTCCTTTTTTCACATTTTGATATAGATAAAGAAGCCATTCAATTGCTGACCTCAGTTAAGTTTTAACTATTTTAACGAGCTGATGATGCTGGTGACCATAATTCAGCAAAAATTTCTAATAATAAATTATTATTTGTATTAAGAGAAGTCATACTATTTGATGTTATAGAGATAGAGAATAGAATCCAGAGTAAGAAAGTGACGAGCTCAATAAAGAGAAGCAACTTTAGCAGATGCTAATTTTGCAACGGATTTGATATAAGGTTTCCAAGAAAGTATTTCACTGTGTAAGACTTAAATTTCGAGCTGCAAACAACAAATCCGCATGTTTCAAAACTAAATCAAGGTTATGCATATATATTGTCAATAAGAAAGTATATTAGAAAATAGATAAATAGTAAAGCCAAAAACAAAAATACATAAAAATTTAAAAAAATAAGATGTTAATATTATTTTTTAACATTAAATATGAGTTGTCTAATTAACTATTATAGTCTACAAGTCTTTATTACATTTAAGAAACATTAATGTTTCAAGCAAAGAATCTGACATAGCTCTATGAGGGCGTATTAACTAACATAACTAACAGTTATGTTAGTTAATGCGCCCAATTAAATTATATAATTATAATATTTACTTCAGGTTTAAAGTATTAGCATTTTTCAAGCAAAAAAATCAATCATTACAATAAAATAAAAAAATAAGATAAAATAAAAATAAAATATAATATAAAATAAATACAAAATATAATTTAACTTGTTTTTTAGTTAGTAATTTGGTAGTTTTTTTTATTATTAAATAGAAATTTAAGTAAATTTTTTTTTATTGCAATCAAAAGTGTTAATACTCTTGCCTTTGCAAGATGATAAATCAAAGTTTTTATTATATATATTTCTTTTATGGTATTTTTTTTTTTTTTTTTTACATATTGTTTAACAACTTCATATACAAAAAAAAATTGTCATTAATAAATAGTGCTTACATCTAACATGCTTGTCATTCAAACTTTTGTAACAAACTTTTTACGTAATCATCATTCTAATGTTAATGTTGTTTTTTTTATAAAATTAATTACTTCTTTTATCTTACCGCTTATAGAATAATTTAAAACATAAAAAAAAAATTAAGAAAATTGCTTAATGGAAATTGTTCATGTACATAAAATTTCTTGACAGGCACATAAATTGCCGGCAGCTTAACGCTTTAAAACAAGGCCTGTGTGTGTGTGTGTATATATATATATATATATATATATATATATATATATATATATATATATATATATATATATATATATATATATATATATATATATATATATATATATATATATATATATATATATATATATA